AGATCGCACAATGGAGTAATGAAAATTTGCAGAACATTTACTCACTCTCGGGCCATCCGAGATGTAAAAGAGTTTCTTCATCAGAACAGATTTGGAGAAATGTAGCATTGCATCACTTGCTCAGCATTGGATCCTCTGCAGTGAATGGGTGCCGTCAGAATGAGAGTCCAAACAGCTGATAAAAACATCACAATAATCCACAAGTAATCCACACCACTCCAGTCCATCAACTAACATCTTGTGATGAGAAAAGCTGCATGTTTGTAAGAAATAAATCCATAATTAAGACGTTTCTAACTTGAAAATGTTATTTCCATAATCCATAAAATTGCTTAGTGTTCTTGTCTGAATCAGGAGAGAAATATGCACAGATCAAGCACGTTTACAAGCCAAAACAAGTCCACTGATGATCAAGTGATGTAAATTTCTCTAAATCTTTTCTGATGAAGAAACAGTCTCATCTACTGTACATCTTGGAAGGCTTGAGGGTGAGTGATTGAAAATTCACCATTTTTCATTTCTTGGTGAACTATTCATTTCAGAATCACGATTAGGAAGGTACTCATGGTAACTATATTAGTAAAAAAAAATGCATATGCAAATTTATTTGAAGTGCTTAATTTTTAACTTTATTCTGTTTGCTGCAGGTGAACAACATGCCCATGATGGCCCTGGTGCACCCCGTCTATGACTGTTTGTTCAGACTGGCCCAATCTGATGCCCTGAAGAACGAGGAGGAGGTGAATCTTGAACATTATTACTGGTTGGTTGATTGAACTGGATAGACTAATAGAGTAACTAAATTAGTAATGCATCAAAAAATGGAGGGTCAAAATCATTAACCACACCTTTTTGACTTTTGCCATCTCTCTCTCTGTCTCAGGTGGACTGTCTGGTGTTACAGTTGCATCGTATTGGAGATCAGCTGGAGAAGATGAACCTGCAGCTCATGGATGAGCTGTTCAATCTCCTGAGGGATGGATTCCTCCTGCAGGAGGACCTGAGCTCCATGGGCCACCTGCTCCTGCTGGAGATCCTTGAGTTTCGCGCAGGAGGCTGGACTCTCAGCGAAACAGCTCAGAAATACTACTACAGCGAAGTGACGGACTGAGGCCTTCACCAATCAGAGAAACAAGAAGGCAGGATGAAATGGCAATCCGTAGGAGCCAAGTGTTGGAGGTTTTATTTTTATATTTACCTTTGATGAAGGCTTGGTGATTCACTAGGTATGAGGTTTGACATGAAGTAGAAGATTGGATTGTGACTTTTTGAAGTCGACTTGAAGTGACATGAAGTTCATCATATTTACTTTAATACACATTCCTGGTTTCATTTGATTTAGGTCTTATATTAGTGTCAAGGGCTGTAATCAGAACACTAGAGACGATTAGATGGTTTTATTTAATAGAGATGGATATATTTAATAAATTGTTACTTGTTTTATTTTCTTAAATTGACTAGCAAGTTATATTTGCCTCGGTAGAAAGAACAGCTATTTCTATTGTATAGAAAGAATTACTTTATATATTTGTTCTATAATACATCTTATACAATGTAAATGTTTTTAATGAACCAAAAACAGTTTATAAGAGTCACATTTAAATATGTTTCCTTAAGGCTAATATTTTTATACTACGAAAAGAAGAGTGGCTGTATATCCAACAAAACTTCTACAGGTGCTGGATGAAGAGAGTGTCACAAGCTTGCATAAATTTGCACAGCTACGATAATATTTTGTATCATTTCAATCTGATGAAAATCCACTGGACTGAAATGTTAACATGAGACTTAACATGAGGTGATATGCCAAAATGTTGTATTTGAAAGTAAAAAATTAAGCTCCTGTGCAGCTGTTTTGGCCTCACTGATTCCTCAGGCTCTTGCAGAGCAGACAGTGACTTGTATAGTTGTCTTGATGCCACAAGTTTCAAATAAAGAAACAATTAATTATTTTAGATTACAATTGAAATCTAAAAAAAAATATGTAAAGATACGTGTTGTAGATTTTTGTAGTACTGTTCAACTCTTGTGTAAAAAAAACAAAAAAAAACAAAATTCCTTGTCAAAAATGGAAATGTGTGACTTTTTATAGCTTTATTTACTTTCACACAAAGACAAACTTTATTTATGAGTCAAGATAACAGACTTTCTCATGTCCTTTTTTGTGATGCCCATCCATCCCAAACTCCTGATGCTGTCAGTCCAAAACAAATCACGTCTGTGGGTGAACTAGGAGTCCAAACGTCTTCTCTCTACCACCAGCGGTAGTGTGCATATGCCCTGTTGGCTTCGGCCATCTTGTGAAGGTCGTGTTTGCGTTTCACTACATTTCCCTCGTTAGCGAAGGCGGCCAGCAGCTCCTGTGAGAGTTTCTCGTACATGTGTGTGCGACGGTGCTTGTTGTCTCTGCATTCTGTGATAATCCATTTCATGACCAGAAAACGCCGCCGATTATCCGTGAGAGGAACGGGCACCTGCAGGACCAATAATTCAGAGTAAGATTCAATATTTGATCTACTTTTATAGAGCTTTGACGTCATTCCTCTTGCTTGACCATACTGTTCTGTTTGTCATTTCTCCGATCACAAATGCAGACATGGTTTTATGTTACGCTCCGGCCTGACAGGGCATCACAATATGGTAAGGGGCGTAACATTTCTGTCTCACGGCTTGAGGTATTCGGCCAATCATAACGCACTGGATAGCTGGCCAATCAGAGCACACCTCGCTTTTCAGACCGATGAGCTTTGTAAAAATCGACGCGTTGCAGAAAGGCGGGGCATAGAGGAGAAACAATAATGTACAGTATGTGGAAAATAATGTGTTTTTTTAACCTTAAACCGCATAAACACATTTCATTACACCAAATACACAAAATAATGTTATTTTTAGCAACATCATATGACCCCTTTAATTCTCTGTACTGCAGGTGAACAACATACCCATGATGGCCCTTGTGCACCCCGTCTATGACTGTTTGTTCAGACTGGCCCAGTCTGATGCCCTGCAGAATGAGGAGGAGGTGAATCTTGAACATTGTTACTAGTGGTTGGCTCAAATGGATAAACTGATTGAGTAAATAAATTAGTGATCATCAAAAAATGGCAAAAATGAATTTTTGGTTTCATCAGAAATTGGTTTGTAGGGCCAAAATCATTGACCACAACATTTTGACGTTTAAATTAGGGTTTCTCAGACGTCAGCTTTTGTGGATCAGTGTTTTCTTTTCACTCACCAGTGCATATTGATATATCTATCTATATATATATATATATATATATATATATATATTTAGATAGCAGAATTTTTCTGACACCTCAGTTATCTCTTCATCATTTATCTGTTAGTTTGTAGCAATGTTTAATCTTACTCGGATGTTGAAGTTCTCTCCTTATCTCTCTCTCAGGTGGACTGTCTGGTGTTACAGTTGCACCGTATCGGAGATCAGCTGGAGAAGATGAATATGCAGCTCATGGATGAGCTGTTCAATCTGCTGAGGGATGGATTTCTCCTGCAGGACCTGAGCTCCATGGGCCGCCTGCTCCTGCTCGAGATCCTTGAGTTTCGTGCGGGAGGCTGGACTCTCAGCGAAACGGCTCAGAAATACTACTACAGCGAAGTGACGGACTGAGGCCTCCACCAATCAGGAGAGAGAAACAAGGCGGGATGAAATTGCAATCCATAGGAACCAAGTGTGGAGGTTTTATTTTTATATTTACCTTTGATGAAGGCTTGGAGATTCACTAGGTATGAGGTTTGACATGAAGTAGAAGATTGGGCAAAGTTAGATGCAGTACTGGGTTTTGGTTTTGTTTTGACTTTTTAAAGTCAACTTGAATTGATGTGAAGTTCATCTTATTAGCTTTCATAATACACATTCCTGGTTTTATAGTTTTATTCATTCACATTATTCAAAAGAAAAAAAAAAAAACACAATTCATAATTTTTTTGATCAAAGATTTATAACTTTATCATCCCTGTAATGCCACCCAAGGCCGCTTGGGGTTTAATCAATGGGTGCTGGTAGCGTTTCCCCAATTGCAAAGTCTTGCCGTCTTTTTCCCATCAAGATTTAGAAAACAGAAATCTGCAAATAGTAGTCCATGTTGTAATGTTGCAGGAATATGTTAATGTCCCAGGACACACTATTAATACGTGTGATAATGCAGTTCATTCATGGTACTGCCTACTTACAAATCCAGTTAGTAGAAAAAATAAGTTATAGCTAAAGGGCTTGTTAATGCTGCTTTTTTTTGGCCATAATCACAGTAAATTTAGCCATTGGTCACAGATCTTTAGACATTTTAGTTTGAAAGTGAATGGAGTTCAAGTGGATCATTGAAGTCTTGCAATAGCAGCATTAAAATCATGATTCATTTGATTTAGGTCTTATATTTGTGTCAAGGGCTGTAATCATAACACTAGAGATGATTAGAGGGTTTTAATATCAATATATTTAATAAATTTTTAGTTGTTTGATTTTCTTAAATCGACTAACAAATTATATTTTCCTCGGTAGGAAGAACAGCCATTTCTATTGTATAAAAAGGATTACTTTATATATTTGTTCTATAATATGTCTTTATAAGATTTAAATCTGTGACAAAATCTATGTTTTTAATGAACCAAAAACAGTTTATAAGAGTCACATTTAAATACAATGTTTCCTTAAGGATAATATTTTTATACTATGAAAAGTAGACTGGATGTATATCCAACAAAACTTCTACAGGTGCTGGATGAAGACAAAGCGTCGCAAATGTGCATAAATTTGCACAGCTATGACAATATTTTCTTATTTTGTATCATTTCAATCTGATGAAGATCCACTGGACTGAAATGTTAACATGAGACTTAACATGAGGTGATATGCCAAAATGTTGTATTTGAAAGTAAAAAATTAAGCTCCTGTGCAGCTGTTTTGGCCTCACTGATTCCTCAGGCTCTTGCAGATTAGACAATGACTTGTATAGTTGTCTTGATGCCACAAGTTTCAAATAAAGAAATAATTAAATGTTTTTGTGCACAAAGTTACAATTGAAATCTGAAAAATGTGTCGTAAGATGTGTCTTAAATTTGTTTTGTAACACTCAAAAGTGGAAATGTGACTTTTTATAGCTTTATTTACTTTCACACAAAGACAAACTTTATTTATGAGTCAAGATAACAGACTTTCTCATGTCCTTTTTTGTGATGCCCATCCATCCCAAACTCCTGATGCCGTCAGTCCAAAACAAATCACGTCTGTGGGTGAACTAGGAGTCCAAACGTCTTCTCTCTACCACCAGCGGTAGTGTGCATATGCCCTGTTGGCTTCGGCCATCTTGTGAAGGTCGTGTTGGCGTTTCACTACATTTCCCTCGTTAGCGAAGGCGGCCAGCAGCTCCTGTGAGAGTTTCTCGTACATGTGTGTGCGACGGTGCTTGTTGTCTCTGCATTCTGTGATAATCCATTTCATGACCAGAAAACGCCGCCGATTATCCGTGAGAGGAACGGGCACCTGCAGGACCAATAATTCAGAGTAAGATTCAATATTTGATCTACTTTTATAGAGCTTTGACGTCATTCCTCTTGCTTGACCATACTGTTCGTTGCATGGGAAAGATCTGATTTTGAAAACTACTTTTGTTTTACAGAAGTCATACAGGTTTGAAACAACATGGTGTTTATGATGATAATGTTTATGGTGATAAATGATGATCATTTTCACTTTTTGAATGAATTATCCCTACAAACATAACTCTGGATAAAAGGATACCATTTTATAAAATGTTAAACATAAATATTGTCCAAAATATGTGTACATTTAATTCCTCACAACATCTTAGTTGACATCATTAAATTGTATTGTCTTACGTAAAAAATTATCATATTGACTTTCAGTCATTTCTCTTGAGATATTTCTATCAGTGTTGGCCGTTTGCAAACCCATTGATTGAACTCTGATTCTGAGTTGCATATCCACAAACATCTTACTAGATTATCTCAGAGTTGTGAAATTAATATTAAATGTTGTTCACTGACCTGATAAGATTTGCCTCCTTTCTGAACACTGGCCAGGCCAATGATGGGTTTGCAGTTCTCTAGGGCCTGATGGAAGACGGTGTATGGATTACACTCGATCTCTTCTCTCTTAGCTGCTGGAGATTTGTGGTATTTCTCCACCTGTTTTCTCTTTATGGTCTCCAGCGTCTAAACAGACGCAAAACATCCAAGCAGAAACTCATATGAACAATTTTGTAATATGTTTGAAAGATACCTCTTAGGCTCATAAGACTGTTTTTTTTTTCTCTTTTATTAAAAATACACGGAAAAACAGGAATATCGCGACATTATAACAATTTATAATATTTTTTTTAATTGTCAAATATTGTAAAATGTAATTTATTCCTGTGACGCAAAGCTGAATTTTCATAATTATTACTCCAGTGTCACATGATCCTTCAGAAATCATTCTAATTGCTGATTTGCTCAAGTATTAATTATTATTGTGCTCAATTATAACTAATGGTTCATATTATTATTATTATTATTATTATTATGTGTTTTGCTGGTTTAAAATGTATCATACATAAATATTTTCAGAGTTTTTTGATGAATAGAAAGCATTTATTTGAAACTGAAACATTATAACATTTTTTGTTTGTTGTTTTGTTTTTAAAAAGTCTGACTTACCCCAAACTTTTGAACAGTAACGTATCAGTTTCCACATAAAATATGAAGCAGCACAACTGTTTTCAACATTGATAAGACATGTTTATTGAGCAGCAAATCAGCATTTTAAAAAGATATCTGAAGGATCATGTGACACTGAAGACTGGAGTAAATATTTAGCTTTACTGTCAAAGGAATACATGAGTATTTTAAATGTTTTTAAACAGAAAAGTTGTTTTAAATGGTCATAATACTTCACAATATTACAGTTTTGACTGTAAAAAAAAAAAAAAAGGTTAAACTCACTCTGACGCGACCGTGAAAGGACCTCAGCTGAAGAATGCGTCCTAAAATATTGCCCGAGTAAAATAATACAACAAAATATTTGTTTTAATTAAAAAAAATGTTAATGTCTTGCATTTTACATTTATAGTAGATATAAAATTGTTTTTGCTCAGTGTCTAAGTAATAGTTATTTACACTAAAAAGAAGTCAGGCAGTCGGTGAATTTCCTGTATGGCTGTAAACGTGTTTGTAGATATGTCTACAAATATTTGTACTGCCCCCCCCCCCC